ACAGCCTTGAGAGCCAGTCTATGGAGACAGATTGCCAATATCAGAGTTTAATGCTGCATGACAGTCCACTGAAGTCASAGCTTGAAAGCACAAAATATTTGTGGGTAAAAGCTCTTAGCACCACCCYGTCGCCAAATCCCATGGGAGGAACAGTGACAAGTCCCATCCCCWCTCATGGATCACTCTGCTTCTCGGAGAGATGGAGAAAAACCTGTGCAGACAAAACAATCATTCACTCAGCTTTAACCTAGATGTTAGGYTAAAGGTCTCCTGAGATGTTTTAAAGTGTTCAGAAGCTCCTATTTGTGCTGCACAAGAAAGCTGACACTCCCAAATTTGTAGACTTTATGGAGCACTGAGAGAGCCACATCAGCCCAGCTACACTCTGATGCAAACTCAAATCCYAGCCCACCTGCAAATTCTACCCCTGACTTCAGTGGAATCCATTCAGTCCTCATTAAGCCTCACATTATGGATAATTAACCTAGAAACCGTCTGCAGCTGAGATGGCCACTGGCATTGTCCTGGAATGCTTCTTTAAAGAAAAAAACACCCCAAGGCTCCAGCCATCCTGCTGACCTGGCTGTGAGCGTGGGGTGGGCAGTGAGGGACCCGAGCTGGAATGTGCAGGTGGAGCACTGGTGGAGAGCAATGCAGGCAGCGCTGAGGATGAGGAGTGCACTTCTCCACCAGGCTGTTCTTGCAGCTCTGCTCCACCCCACAGAGCTCCCRTGGGCTCATCCTGTGACATCCCACAAGGGTTCAGTGCCCAGGCTGTGGTTCCAGCCCATCCCTGCTGTGCTTGCAAAGTGCCATGCAGAGTCCCAAACACAGGAGCCCTGCCCAGCTGGGAAGTTCAGCCCCTGCTCTTCCAGCCCCACCAGCTCTTACACTTACAGGCAGGTTTATTTTACACATACGCTTTTGTTTAGTCAGTGGATTAAGAAGCYCAAATGAAAATTCTGCTTAACTGCAGTCCTTTACAATATTTGCTGTAGCAAAGGACCATCATTAGGAGATGATCCAACATCCCTCTCCTTCCTGTAATGGTTATTGAAGGAGCCAGGGGCAACATCCTAACCTTTATGTTTTATGTAAGTGCCTAATTCAGGCTAAATTGGGCCTGACCTGATTTGATACAGCAGCAAGATTTTTTTTTTTTTTTTTTTAACATGAAGACTGCATACATAAGGTAATACTTTAATTGGTTTGTTTGAGGCAAGGGCAGCACTTTTAATTAAACCTACTGATCTGATTTATTCATTTATTTTATCTGAATCTATTATCACAGAACTGAAGGATGGGAATCAGTGTTACAGTCATGAGCTGTGCAGAAAGCAACATTCACCTCCAGGTTGGAGCCCATTTAAGCATCCTGAGTTCTCCCAGAGAAGATGGTGAGCTCTGATGCCATGTGAGAATGGAGTCAGAGGCTCCCAGTCTCAGGCTTTTAAAAGCTAAACTAATAAATATTTTAGCTTTCAAAACATAGATGTGAAAGAACAAAAGCAAGCAAAGCACTGGGGTGCCTTTGCAAAGGCTGACCTGTTTTAATACCACAGGTCAATCTACAGGATTTAACTGATACCTCTTTCAACTGGTAAGAAAGAAAAGAACCCTGAAAAGATCTGGTTTACAGATCTGATTTACAGTTTAGAATCTGAACTGATGAGATATAGCAGCCAGGATCATCTTACATGATTGTGAAGTTATTTAGAGAGCGAGAGCTGTTGGCCAGGCTGCAATGAAATCAGTAATGTAGCAAGTAACACAGAAAACGGAGATTTCCCCACGAGAATATGGAGCTCATGCTGTCAGTATGCAGAGCTGGATTTATTTCAAGAACTGCTGCAGTCATATTGGCTTTGCTTCCAAACAGTGCAATGCTGGAAGTTTCTCTCCAACAGTCTAGCAGATGTCATGTCTAGCACCTTCGGATTTAGGCATCTTTAGATAAATTAAATCTCCCATGATTGGCTCCAGTGTGGTRCAGATACCACTGACATGGTCAGCTGGGTCCACCTGAGCTATCTGACCTTTCCCACTGGTGAATTCCAAACATTTCCCAGCAGGCAGAAACTTTCTGTGTGGGTTTTCTTTGCCAGCATCCGCTACTGAAACCAGGGCTTACGTGAATCCSTGAAGCTCTGGACATGGATTGTCCTGCCCTCTTYGACCCTTCAGATTAGGCAACCCAGSTGAAAATCAGTTCCACACCCAGCATGCACCAAAAAGCCCCTGACAGCAGCAAGGAAGGGGAGAAGGCACCAGGACAAGGCTGTGGGAGCCAGCAGGGGTTGAGCCCTTCCCTGTAACCCAGATCCACCACTGCCAATGCAACTGTTTTCCTCCCTCCCAAAACTCACCTGGCTGCAGTACATCAAGGAAAAAACCATAAATTCCTCCTCTGTCTGATCTCTCTCCCTTGTTAGGGTTCCCAAGCACAGTGTGTTACTGGTATCAGCAGAGCCTGGCAGTGAACCAAGGACACACAGAGCCAAGAGCAAACCCAAGATCAGAAACCTCAGCTCAAGCCTCGGTGATGGAGCTTTAACCCAATCCATTTAACCTTGAATCAGCTCAAACCTCAGTGATGGAGCTTTAACCCAATCCATTTACCCTTGAATCAGCTCAAACCTCGGTGATGGAGCTTTAACCCAATCCATTTAACCTTGAATTGGCAGCAGGTAAAGAGCACGCGTGCAAGCAATTGTTTCACCTCATCTCACACAGGTTAAGCTGTGGCAACACATCTGCTTAGTCTAAGCTGCTCATTTCCATTTCTGGGGGCACAGTGTTGCCACAACAGCGCTGAGGCCCTTCTGGATTCAAATTTAGCATTGCAGCACGAGAGGGAGGTCMAGACAAGGGTTAAAAAGTCAGCCAGGCCCATAAGGACAGCGCAGTCTCCAGCCATGCTCACTGGGGATGAAGGATGACAGAACTTTTCCCAGCAATGCATTTTTCAGGGCCACATGTAATCAGATGATGAACTTAAGTCATAAGCATCTTCCAGTGAAATGACACCGACATTAGTGCTTTCCTTCTGACATATTCAAMATTGAACATAAACTGGCAGGAATTCAGATAAACAGCTCCACAGAAGATACTCCCAAATTTTGCAGCTGATGATCTCCAGATCTGCTATATAAGCAAGAAGTCTCCACCTGTTCATGCACAAACAAGATTAAAAAACCCAAACAGATGGTGACTTAATCCCCAGCTCCATCACCACTGATGTTAGACAAGATGAGGAACACGCCTCGCTTRAAACCTTTGCTTATACTGGAAAAATCTTCAGAACGGGGTGTCCGTGAGGACAAAGTATTGCCATTCCAAAGCACTGCACTAATGTGGTGATTTCACTGTATAAAGGGAGACATCCCACTTTAAACACTGATCACAGGCACAGAGGATTCAACAGGACCAAGCAGAAGTGGCAAACTCATGCCTCAAACAACCCRACCTGAGGGACAGAGGAGCAAAGAGCTGTCCATCTCCCTTCAATCAACAATAAATGATTATTCACGCTATCAACTAGCAGTAAAATGCAGAAAAACAGCCAAAACTCATGCTACTATTCCAGCAGGTTTAGAAACATGCCTTAGGCTAACGATGTTTCTTAAAAGGGAAGCACAAGCTTGTCTCTCCTGTCCAGGTTTCCCTCCCCTCAGCTCCTGCTGAAAGGCACAGTGTCTGCATTTAACAGAAKTCCTACACCAGCCCAAGGAATCGCCCTTGCTGGCTTTGCATGGCCACACTTCCCTTCACATCTGGGACTGAGGAGGAGGGGCAGACTCCCCTCTCAGTTCCACAGAGGCAACAGAAAGGAATAATTGCTCCTGCATGGGCACAGTGTAGTGAATTATACACTGCTAATAATGGGGTTCCTGCAATGCAGGTGCCTCTGAGACGGTCGCAGAGCAAGGAGATCACTGCCTCAAACCTGAATCACTGCTATTTCCTTCACAGATCTAAAAGTTAACCTTCTACAAACATGAAACTTCATTCTCCTAAATAATTTTACTCCCTTTCTATTCTAAGGGACAATTTACCAATGGAACCTGCAGCAGGATATGCTGAATGTTTCCTCCTCAGGAACACATTCCACCACACACTACTCCACTTTACATAGCCCTTATGCCTGAAAAAAACCACACAACAACCTCAAGATTATTTCCGACTGATAAAAATGTACCCAGTTCAGAACTTATTTGTCTTCCCAACAAATAAAACTGAAAAAAAAAATCACATGGTGTTTAATAAGACACAAATGTTTTGGTCAATTTTTAGGAAACCTGAAAACCAGGGAGATGGATCTGCACCTCCCTTGTGGGGTTCCCATTAGGAAATACACAGTAAGTTTTCCCCAAGCTGCAGAGAGCAGGTCCAAATCAATCCTTTGAGGTTCCCCAGGCAGGGGAGGGGTTGGTAACTGTGCCACAGGAACACACACACATTCTTGACAATCTGCTCAGAGATAGCAGATGAAGGGGGCACAAGAACTGAACCACTCCAGCAGCTGCTCACGAGAGAGCCTTGGTCACAATTGAGCAGGAGCTCAAACCAGCCCAGCCCCAGACTGCAGAGCTGAGCTCAGCCAGCAGAGCCAGGTGGAATTGCCTGCAGCAGCTGGAGGAGAGCTCACATAATGACATTCCCAGTGCCTGATGCATATGGAAAGGATCAGGTTCCTTGTAAAAATACAGGTTCACCTGCCCTCTTTCAGCACCACACTGATGGCCAGGCAGTCTTTTCAGAGTGGCTGACTGTTCCAAACCCAAGGGCCTCGTATCAGAAACATCCAGACTGTTTTCATTCTTATCCAGAATAAGTATTTCCAGTGCTGCAGGACCTCCACACCTTTAAACTGAGGGGTCTAAAAGGTCTGCACTCTCACTGAGCAAGTGCTGCATGTCCAATGGTCTGAGAGTCTAAAACCAGCTTTTGCAGAGGGTTTAATACAGGTGTTATTGGTCTAGTCTCTAGTAAGTCAGTGTTATTTCATTGGTATTGACACAAATCTGAAGTAACAGTTTGACCAAATTTATTATTTTCCTGATTGCATTAATTTTACATAGAACAAAGTTCTCTTATTTAAGCAATCACATTAAATCAGCATAACAAATTTTGCCTAACAGGAAATACACTGTTACTGAGATATTTTAAAGCATKTTGTTTTAAAAAGAGTTTAATTTGTACTTATGTTTCAGCTTTCTCATGTTCATAGGAAGCTTCCAGACATCTGGATTCCAGTTCAGGATTTATTTGCATACAAAAATATATTATAATGGAAAAAAGCATTAAAGTTTTCAACTATATAAAATTACAAATATATTTGCATAAAAGCAACTTTAAATTAAAATTAAAGCTATATTTTAAAGCAAAATACAGCTCTAACATTTAAGTTATCTTATTACAACAGCTGCAAGGTAAAAAAACATCAATGTTGCCATTTAAATAGTTGTAGGAGTTCACAAAGGTTATGTTCAGAGGGTGAGTATCTTGGGGARCAAAGTTATCAGACAAGGGCAGCAGTTCTCACTGATTGATGTAATTTATCCTCCAGAGGACACCGACATGCAAGCACAGTGCTGAAAATTCATTTCACATACCTGGAAATACAGAACAAGAAAGATCATTAAGTTTTCTATTAAATAAGATTGCATGTTGTTGACAGTTCAGACACTTATCTACAYCCAGCTTGCTAGACTGCCTGACAAGCCAAATTATATCTTTTCTAAATTAATATGAAAACTGAAATGTTAGTGTGCAAAAAAAGAGAAGGCAAGTACTGCTCTAGTAAGTGCATCAGGCTTGAAAAKTTATCTGTACAAAGTTCTGTGTAACCTCAAGCACATAAACACAACTCCCCAAAAAATGTGATGATAAATACCAAAAGGAAGTTGGACTTCTTAATCACTGTACAAATGAGACACTGCTGAGATCACTGGAAATTTGTCTAGTTGGGATTAAAAAAAAGACAAAAAAATGTGCCAAACCACTAGAGCAGGTGGTAGTTCCTTCCTTCACCTTTGATATATCTCGCAAAGGAAAAATTTAACCTATATACTATAGGCAGCCCCTTTAGAGTTAGCTAGCTGCAACACAGCTGTGCAAGATATAGCAATGTAAATAGTTACTGGTTTGGGCTTTCATCGTGCTACACAAACCTTCAAAARCTCAGATTTTTTTCAGAAGAGTGGTCCATTAAATTTCAGTGGTAAAGATGGAGTTAGCTCAAGCATGCATCAATGACAGAAGATGGGAAATTAGAAAATATATTTTAGGTATGAGAAGTGAAACCAGGATTAAGATACAAGTGAGACAGCAGGGAAGCAGAAAGCTCATAAGAGCAGCTTCTGTCTTGAATTAAGTCCACATCTTCAAGAAATAGAGGGAAGGGATAATACCTAATGAATACATGAAACTCTCAGTTCATAGTTTGAGAGGGCCTTGTTTATGCTGCTATTTAGGTCTAGTGCTACAACTTGTTGATTTGGGCTCTGTAGCCTAGTTCCACACAAAAAAAAAAAAAAAAAAAAAAAAAAAAAAAAAAAAAAACCACCCCAAGCTGAAACACAAAACAAACAGTATTATGTCCACAACAGCAGAGGAAGAAGCAAAAGAAATACGTAGAGTACAAGGCTGGCAATTGGGGGTGAGTTTTTTGGTTTTGTTGTTTTCCTTTAAAAATCATAATGAAGAATTCATTACTGTAGTGCAAGATACGGTTTCTAGATAGTGGCAAAAAAAAGTGATCTAAATTCCACTCCTGGTAAAGACAAGCACAAACAGGACTTTGACAGTTTAAGTCAACAGATACAGATACCTGCTCCTTAATTAAAGGCAAAATGCAAAGTCTAGAACAAAAAGATTTTCCTAACCTATGGATACTCCTCCAGTAACTTAGCTTTATGATGAAGAAATAGATCACCACTTTTTAAGCTGAGTTTTGAGTATTTAAGAAACTAATGTTTATTTATTGATCCATTGTCAAGGAGGGGTGAACTGCAGCTGACTCAGAGGTGGGAACAGGGCTGAACATCCAGCTCAGCCTTTGTCACACAGGCTAACTACATGCCTTGAACATGCAGGCAAAAATCAGAATTTAGTCTGTTWTACCTTCTCATCCACACAACGAACACAGGAATAGCAACTAAAAGGAAACCTCATTACAGAAACTATTTCTGTTTTTCCCTTCCCTCTCTCTGCATACATTGGCTTTCAACACTCTTTGTACCAAATGAGATGCAAGCTATTAATAAAAACCTACTTACTTGCTAATGTTCTGTCAAGATCAGCAATGAAGTCCTCCAGTTCTTTTGTGTCTCCAAGCTTTGCTGCAAAGTAAGGGTCAATACCGCTTAGATATGACATATTTCTCTAGACAGAAGAAACACTAGGAACACTCAGTCCTCCAAATCATTTTCAGTGCTACCAAACAAACATGCTGTGGATTATTGTCAGTAAAGTTCAATAGGGTTTGCTGCCATGTCCAAAAGCACTTAGAGAACATCAGAGACCTGAACTGAAATTCTAGCTTTTATATATTTGACAGAAACAACACAGAGCAACACTTCTTTTAGACTCCTTAAAAAGAAGCAGTTGGAGTGAAGAATAAAAGTTACATATCAACTAATGCATGTCTCTGCTACTGTGGCTATCTTTCTTGTTTAATCTATTCAGAGATTGCATGCATAGCCTTAATCAATCCCACCCAATGAGCTCCCAGTGCCACTCAAATCTCATCCTTTTAAAATCATGTCAGTATCCCTGGTTTGCTGTGCTGCCARATCCTTTGACCTTGGTCCATACGCCATAAATTTGGAACCAAACATCCACCTAAGTTTCCACTCTTGACAACACCACTGGTTCCATTCAACCTAGTTTTACTGCAAGTTGCTCCTTATCTCATTTCTGTGGTCTGTTCCAAGCCAGTCCCMACTCTARTTCTGTCTGTCTTCTCATCARGAAGAAYWTCTTAACCTYCAGTGWAATTTTTTGCCAAATATTTCCTGTCAGTTTAACTCAACTCTATTTTGCTACTTCATAGAAACTACCACTCGCTTTTTCTCCTTAATATCACATTACTGGAAAAGAAACCATTTAATTTGGGTTTTGTGACTGGTCACTGTGAAAAGGATATGAAAGCATGAAAAGCATTGAAGAGGAGAGCAGCTTTAACAAGAGGACCATGCAGTACACATGTGTGAGTGTTCATTTATTGAAGTGTCTGCTCCAGAATGAATCCAGATAAACCTGAATGAAACATTGTCCTGGCAAGTCAAATGAGCTACAAGACAGAAGCCACTTTGAAACAGCACAGCTTCCAAGGGGGAAGAAGTTGCTAATATATGGCTTGTGAAAGCACTGTCTAAGGTCTGTGTGTTGTTGACTAATTGTGTTGACTAAAATGGCAGCACAAGGCTTCAGAGGAGTCTCCCTATCCCTGCATTCAGGATAAGCATTTTCTTAGAGAGATGGGACACTTAAGCCACTTYGTTTCTTCAGTAAAGAAGTAACACAAGTTAATAATTAATCCTTATCAGCCAGAAAACCATAGTTATTTTAGCTCAGTGTTTCAAAACCAAAAGAGTTGCTAGGCCACCTGCAAAGTGCAGATACAGCATGCTATTACCACTTATAATCAAGACAATAATATTTGGATATGTAGTATGCTCAACAGTAATCCTTAGTTTTGTTGTCATTAAAAAAAAAAATAAAAAGAAAAAACCTCCAAACAAAAAGAAAAAAAAAATACACACCCCCCCCAGACAAAAAAATTAAAACCAAACCCCAAAAATGAAAAAAAATCCCAAACAAACCAAACTGCAAGAAAAAAAGTTCATGCAAGAATGTATATCCTGGTTCCCAGGAAGAAGCCCTGGAAGTTGAGGATTAGGTGAAAGTGTTTAAATAGTTAAAATTAAGCCTACCTTTACAAGGAGTTACTGAAGGGGATGGCAAGCTTGGAGTAGATGCAGTTGAAGAGTTGAGCTTTTCATCACTGAGACTGAAACTATTTCTGTAGAGTGAATCTGCACCTGCAAAAAAGCAAAATTATAAAGTAAACTTAGCACCTGCTGTAATTTTGCAATATAATCAAAATGCAGCTTTTCCTACATGGACTTCAAAGTCTCTAGAACTCAAGTTTACAGACTTCAAAATCAGGTAAATAAGTAAATGAATAAATGCTGTACTGTGTGAAGGATGTTACTCCCACTCCTTCTGTTAAAAGGAAAGCAGYCCTAGGCTCAAGTCCTCATCCCCAGTATTTCCCTGAAGTGAACATMATTTGAAAAATTATATGGAAATTACAATAATCCCACATTAACTAAATTGGACCCAGTAAGACCTGCCTAATTCACAATATTCTGGGAAATTCTGTTACCTCAATTTTACAAAGGCTACCAAAAAAAAACCCCCAAAAACAAAAACCTGAATGGAGAGCTCCAGGACAAGGACAATCCCCCAGAATAAAGAACACATTTAGTGTTTCCCTTTATCCCCAAAGCAAACACACCCTTTCTCCATATATTACACTGGTGCTTTATGTCTTGTGTTGTAGTATGGCATTTTTAATTCTTTTTTATTCTGCGACTCTCTGAAGTTCATGAAGAAGTACCTTGGTATGCAAGATACCCTACAATCTTATTTCAGGTGATYTTTCAAATAAAGCCTGACATGCCCCGGACAGGAACAGAAAGGGTTCCRACATAATTTTGATATTCGTGTAATTTAAAGAAGGCCTTCAGCACCAAAAGTATCAAAAAGTATCTTTATCCTATCTTTTTTYATATAAAAAGTTGCACGATGTACAGAGCACCCCAAGTGCTAGTCCTGGCTCCACTGAACTGTCATTGTGCTAGGGACACTGCAACTGCTSGTCCTGCAGTTTCAAGCCAGTGACCTGAAAACCGCAGTTGTACAAAAAGAAACCATTGTGATACAAACACGTTGATGGCCTCCATTTATCTGGCACGTTGCCTAGGACATAAATTTATATCTCGTTATGCGGGGTGGTGACTGCCACTGCTCGCCTTTGAGCCCAGCAGCTCTGCTCCCTGCAGCACACACCGCGTTTGTCCCCACGGCCACCGCCCAGGAGGTGGCTCCCTGCAGCACCGAGTCCATCCCAGTCCATCCCAGAGGGAGCTGTCACCCTGCCTTGGACGCCTGTCCCATTTGCCGTGCCAGGACCGTCTTTGTTAAATTCAGGGTGTCTGGATGAATCGGCCAAAGGGGGCAGGAGCACGGCTGCCTTGCCAAGACCTGCACATCCACACCCCAGCGAGCATCGCCCGATGTCTCCAGGCGGCAGACACCGAGTCCACCTTCCTGCTGGCTGCTCCTCCGCCTCAAGGCATCTTTGGGAACAGTGTGGGCACACCCCACTCCTCTAGCCTGCTGTCCTTTCCAGCACAAAAGCGCCTTCCCAGGAGCACACAGGCACAGTGACAAGTCAAACCAGRTGACTGCACCTACGAAACCTCTCAGATCTTCCCTCAGCCATAAAAGTTGATGTGTTTGTCCTGTGCTGGCTTCCAAGGGTCCCTCTGTTACAWTACGCACTGAAAAGGCTYRGGAAAAAGCTTCAACCTGGAATASTTTCCTCTTTCCCATGTATTTTGGCCCACCATTGTGCTGTATCTTTCAGTTTGCTCTGCCACCAGCTCGGATCCTGATCCAGCAAACACACATTACCACAGCACCAGCAAATGCAAACGATGACGTGACTGACATCTGTGACCTGGGGCTATTGCCACCAGGTCAGCCACCACTTGGTATTTGTTGTTTACAGAGATGGGKATGCTTCTTCAGGCTATCCTCTAACTGCAATTTCTTTACCATCTTCACTCTTCGGAAGTGCCTGTTCTCTCTAAAYTTGAGCAGATCAAAACCAATCTACCTGAAGCTTCAAATACAAGAAATACTTCATGAAAAYGATGCAGAACTGAGATAATTTTACATAGAAAAATTGGGGGGAAAATCAGCCATTTTAAAAGTAGCTCCTATAAACAGAAAACAAACCGAAAAACAACTTGAGGATAAAAGAAATCAGAGAGTGCTCTCAATGATGTATGTCACCAGTGCTGTACTYGACCACATGAACCCTGCACATTAAGCTGATACTTTCTCACCATTAAAGGTATGCCAAATTTCCTCCTGAAATCAGCTTATAAAACAATTTCCTACTAAGGACACTTTTTTCAGCTGAGATGCAAACCCCAGTGACCAAGAAACACAGAACAGAAAATTCTAGCTGTTYAGGACAGAACCCCTACCATCACAAAAAAGCCAAGTAACGTGTAATAGTTCACACAAACTATAGCCAAGACTGTAATTCACTGAAACACTGACAGAACAGACCAAAGATAAAATACTTTCCAGGCTATTTATTTGAAAAGAGGAGAACAAGAAATTCCAAAGTAATTGATATTTTAAAGGTTTTACAGCTCATTGAATTAATAAAAACCACAGAGAACTATAGTTATAAATCTGAGCATACTTTTAATGTGAAATCTAAGCTATTAGCATSTGGACATCAAATGTAGCAAAGCTGGGAATTTCTATCACCAACCAATCCTTCTCATACATAAAATTCAAAGCCTCAGTTACTCTTCTTTGCAGATGGATTAAAGCATTCCTTTTGTGCTTCTGAGGACAACTCAAATTGCAAAAGCTTTAGTAAACCATTAAAACTGGCCACAAACTATTTGCATAATTCTTTGTGCACATCCAAGCTAGCAGACACCTTCCATTTTTGGTTTTTTTTCTCTTCATTATCCTTCTATAAGCATTTGAAAGTACTAACTGCTTACTTTGCAATGCATTGACACCAGAAGATGTTATTTCATACTGGCTTCCATAAACCTTATGCTGGGWAATATTTACAACTGGGCAAAGATAAAATATGACAAAACTGTTGCTTTAAATATCTGAATGTTTTTCTTCCAGTTTCAAAAGGTGAAATATTTTTGCATAACAGTGTTATCTTCTGATGGGTTGCAATAGTTTCAKGAAAATATCAACATTTATCTTTCTCAAAGCAAAAATATACTTTAGCTACTGAATGTGGCTTATTCATGCCACCAAGCATCAGAAATTCTRGTGATGCAAGGAAGAATGCATTGACTCCACCAGCAAGGTCACCATAACTGCTGAAAACAATGTACTGTTAAAAAATACTTTGTGACATCCATCGCAGAACAATATCATCTTTGGCAAAGTGTGGCTGTAGGGCAGCTCTGGGAAAAGGACACTTCAGCCTCTGCTCCCTGCCAGCTGCCACAGCCAAGATTTGCTCATTCACCTCCAATAATGGCCCTTGSAAGAGTTCCACTGCCAGACAAATACAACATCCTCTGCAACCCAATCACCAGAGGCTGAGGCCAGGGATCTCATTGCTGCTGCTCTCGTTGTCCGTCCTTATCCAGCCCTTTCTCTCCCACTGCAAGTTTATAATTCATTACTTATTTTTCACTTTGTACATTGATTCTAGTCCCTGGGCTTATACATAAACTTTGCCACTTCAGCTGTTTGAAAAAACAACTAAACTCAAATTGCCTCTTTGAAAAAAAAAAAAAAAAAAAAGCTTTAAAATCTGAGAGTTGTGTTGGTAAATTGATTTACATCAGTCAAGCTACACTGCAAAATTAGGGGGTAGGATTAAATATGGGYGTATTGTACTTTGGCAAAGTAATCCGTAGTTACTGTAAGTTTGCTGTTCCAGTACATGGTTAAACCACAAAATAAACCCGGGCAATACCATGTAAATATACAATGTCCCCACAAAATGAGCAATTGAAAGGTTCTCAACAGTCATTAACCGGAAGGAAGGAGAAAAACCTCAAATGCTTTATTTTGAAACAGTCAATGGAAAAGTTCATCTCTASAGCTTCTTCAATATAATGCTCTTTCTACTACCTTAGTTCAAGATACAATTTTGATGAGCACTAGAGTTGGTAACATTTTTACTGCAGTTTTCAGTGGGGAAAGTTTTAGGGGAAAAAAAAACCATATCCCTAAAGCTTTCAGAGAGAAGCTTTACAAGTCCACTCAAATGCCTACAAAGCATGAATTTATTATAAAACAGTAACTCAGCACTTAATGARCAGACTGCACAACCAATTCTGAACAAAACATAGCCTACTTGCTAAAAAATAATAAAAAAATCTCGAAATTGTAATGTCACCAGTAGAAGTGAGAAATATTCATTATACAAAAAGCTTGTTTCACAATACATCTGTTTCAGCCCTCAAGGATAGTGTTTATTTTTATCATTGTCATCATCACAGTTACACTTGGCTGCATTGTTTGTTTTTGTGGGGATTTTGCCTAGCTAACAAACATCTGTTCTAAGACTRACAAAAAAATGACACCTTTTTGCTATTGACACATCTAAGCATCATTATTTAAAGAATTTCTAATCACAAAACTACACGGAAGTGATCTAGGAAGCCTGAAATCCAGATCTATAGACATGTTTTCTCAATATATACAAACCTTACCTTTCCACTTCCCTCCCTGCCCTCAATCTATGAAGCARTTTCCAACTCCAGCCTTCCCTGATACTAATCTTCCTTTCTATGAGCCAGAGCAATGGGTGTGCTCAAGTGGCAAGAATGGGAAATCTTACAAAAATGTGTATTTCTCAGCACAATGAAATACCTGAAAAAGAGAAGGCTATGCACCTGAAACTTCCAATTTTTCTTCTCCTTGAACATATGAGTAATGTAATAAAACTTTATTTCTCAGATCATTTAATAAAACGGTATTTTTCCAAAAGAGTCTAACTTCATTTTCTTCATTATAAATATTGTATTGCACTCTAGTTTGAGGCAGGCCATTGGAAGCTCGCAGACACAATCCACTCCCTTTTCATGTTACAAGATTGGCATTTGCTGCAAAGACCAAGGGCTCATCAGCTTCATATCCTGCCTCTCACAACAACTCAGGGCAGATGCCTGCAGAAGAGTTTAAGAGTGGTGCAGCCATGCACCAATAATTTCAAAACAAGCTCTACCAAGTTCTCACATTGCACATGCTGGCATCTTTTCTGAGACAGCAGTGGCATCAGCCCAAGCAGTCCTCAATGGCCCCATCYCTCCTGCYTGGATTTTATCAAGTTATTTTTAARTARGCAAAATTTTAATATCACRAWATCTTAAGGCAATACCTTTAACAGTTTAACTGTTCATGAAAAAAAAACCAAAAAGACACCTCATTTCTTTGAAACACCCTAACTCAATTTGATTTCCTCATACTGGTGAGGTAGCAGTCACTTTCCTAGTGTCACTTTGGATTTTCTGGAAGACTGTCTTGTCCCCACCCAAAACAGCTTTTTTTTTAGCCTGACAGTCCCAGTCTATTTAAGCATTTGGAAACTATTTTATGTCTTCAATCATCTCGGTTGCCTTTTTCTTTACTTTCTTTACAGTCATATATTACAAGACTGCCAATGTAAGCGGACTTTCCAGGGTGAGTGCYGCAGTACTAACAGTGGCTGATGCTTCATCTCTGGATAGCCCAGGGATCAGCACAAGCGCAAGGAGACATCCACAGCCACGTCCATGTAACCACACGTGCTGGCACTGCACCAGGCACTGACTGTTAACAGACCCACCTCAACCACCCTGTACTTGATTTTAAACCCATAAAATAAAGAGCTCTAGATGTACTCAGGATTTCTTTGTTGTGTTTAAAAGGCATTGCTCAGCACTCATTTATTTACMCTGAATAGATAGCTACAAAAGAACACTGCAGGCTGTTAGAGCACAAGAACTGAATTGATGCATTTATCTTGCAATGCTTTTAACAGAGAGGCTGGATGCTGAAGAAGTCTCAAGAAAACATGGAGCTACAAGTGTCAAACACTTCTGAGAGCATGACAACAGATTATGATTTGACTTTTCAGTCTTATTGCAACTTTAGCCCAAGAAACACCAGAGCACTTCCCTTCTCAACCTCTCATAAAGTCTGACTTCCCATTCATTATCCTAAACCTAAACTTGGAAGGCTCTCCTGACACTGCCATGCACTGGCACAGTGCACTGAATGGGCATGCAAATTACACAGGCAAGCCTGCACGTTTCCTGGCAGGCTTATTCCAGCACCAGGAGACAAAGCTATCTGTAAGTTCATTAATACAGCTGCATCCACACTAGTGGCTTCTGCCAGCACAGCACTCTCTAGCACAAATCCTATTTTATCACAGCCAACAYATGCTGTAAATAAAAAAGAGTTATWAAGTATACCYCAGTGTAGAAGTCCCAGCAYGATTAATAACCTATAGAACAAAGCTGCTATGCTTCAAWTCGTTTGAATACATCAGGTTGAAACATAACTGGCACTCACTCACAGTCCAGCAGCTCTGGAATGCTGGAGGAACTCAGCAGTTGCATCATGATTTCCAGCACTGACCCCATCAGCTGGGGCGGTTAATGAAATACTCGTGGGCCGAGATCATCACACACATCTGCACACATGAGCCTCTCTGTTACTGCAAGGTCCAGAGTCCATTGTGCTACGTACAAAGCTTAAGCACAGCCAAGCCAGACCTCGTCCAAAGATCGTTYAGTCAAATGACAGGACAAGATGTGAGTGAACAAAGTACTATCGCACCCATTTTCCACACAGAGTCTTCAAAATCCTGCTTTTTCTTAAGAGCMTGAAATATGTAATACAAGAATTTAATTTAGTATATTTGGAGCTAGCTCCCTCATGAAATTTTAAGGATAAAAGAATATTTGCAGGATTAACTACATTGATAGAGGTCTTTCATAATTTTTTCTGTAAATTAAATGGGCTCATCCTCATGGGAGAAACCCCATGAGGAGAAAGGCTTTCCTTACCCTACTAAACARTATTTTTCAAGTATGATCACTTGACATGTATTTGTAGCTTCTCACAGAGCTGAATTTAAGGCTTATTCAGGGGYACTGAAAAAAACAGTGGCAACAGTTTAAAATGTTTCCTCCCCTTGAAGTTCCATCCCTGACTGGAAAGAMACCACTGCAGGGTTGGCCAAAAGATACACGTGCCTAACCTTCAGCCACACCACATCAGTTAGGAGGATTAGTTTAAACAACAAACAACAGATAGCACTAAAACACAATAGTCTGAATTGTTCTGCGCACACATGATAAAGTGTGCTTGCAATAGTCACGGTGCTGGATAACAAGATTTTGCAAAGATGTAAAGAATCTCCATGAACTAAGATGAATATTCAAAACACCRGCAGATAAGATGGTTTTCACAGATTCATGTTATCAGCACTTGCTCTTTCAGCCCAGTTACCCCTTGATTCTGCAGTGGTATTTTAGCCTAAGCCCTACCATGGAAAGAATAAGGTCATGAATTCAGTACTACAYTGGCTAACACTAAATGACAGAAATCAAAAGGAAAATAAACCTGGAGGGAAAAAAAACACTTGAGTCTGAACAGAAAGAACCTGGGTAACTAACCTAGGCAACTCCCTGTATTTATTCTTAAAATAGATGTAGGGAGTGTAGCTGGATTACATCAGACACTRGAGCCTKTTTYATAAAAGGAGCTCTTCATACATCCRCAAKTCCTCTTCAATCCTACTCTAACTTCAAAATAAAAACTTGATTACACGGAATGACTCCTTTAGGAAGAAGTGTTTTACCAGACCTTTCCTGATCCATGAGCAGAGCTGGCTGGTTTTGTTTCCCATTCCTTAAACATATCCTCATAGACTCTGGTGCAYCCTCCTGGTCCCACATATGCCAGCGTCCAGGAGACGGTGATTTTGACTTCTCCAGAGCCACCTTTCACACGATGCATCCCCAAGAGAGGGAGATTTCACCTCACACATCCTCAGCCATCCAAAAGACAGTCTAAACTGGGCACACATTTCTAAGTCTTTCTTGGAGATAGGGAGATACTTAGAAGGAGCGCTACTCTACGAAACGGCAAAAAATCATCTTGATCCATGTACTTCCACTGACTACAGAAAAAACCCAAAGGCAGTGCTAATCAATGTATCCAAGTTCAGGGCAGGTAAAACAATACCTGTCAACAAAAGGAATTATATCMATGATGATGAAATAAAGGGCTCTGATAATCTGGAGAAGCTCTCACAGCTTAAGTAGTAGGGAGATAGCATTAGTGTCTTAGCACTTAGCACTAAGTCAACAGAACTGCACCTTGAATCCCTGAACTGATAAACGGGCAGAACAGAAATTAGAGGAGCAGTTTTATTATAAATAGCTGCAAAACAGGTATGTTTCATCAAACTTCCCATATAGTCAGGAACTTAAAGAACAAAACCAAAACCCCAACACCAAAAAAAAAACCCCAAAATGAAGCAAAAACCCAAAAACAGCAAACCAAAAACAAACCAAAATCAACAAAACTGGTTATAATTTGCTTATAGCAGAACTTCTGAGAAAGTAACCTACCGCTCCCAAAGAGAGCAGCAGTTTCCAGCCTCACTGTCTGGAAGAGGAAAGATGCTTTTCTCTCCCTGATTAGCAAAGCCCGCAAGAGGGGTTGAACTTTTTTCCAAGTTAAGTAGAAAAAAATCCATTCCAATTCTATATTTTCTTGCTCCAAGCAGCTTTTCACCCYTCCTGTTCCAGGTTCTGCACACAGCATTCATGCACACTTAGTGTAGTTGGGGGCAAAGTAGCTTAAAATTTACMTCTCTGAAACAGTGCTAACACTGTCCCCCATGCAGCTGGATGGAGAGGTGGCCATTCTTAGAAGGGGAAAGCTGAGTGAGTTTCCACCTGTTGCAGAAAGCACATTTTGGCTCGTTCTCTCTACACGGATAATTCTGGTTGCCGAGACACAGAGGACAGTCCCTGYGAACCTAAGAAACACCTTTCACCGCAGACGTCGGGACGTCCCGATGTCCCGCAGCCGGCCGGCAGCCCGACCTTCTCCCGCAGAAAGTGTTTTAGGTTCCCCTCCAGCAACTCTCCCCTCCGTTCAACACTAGAGAGTAAAGCATCAGGGCAAAACAGATTCCRCACCCCTGCGACTTCTAACCCAGMACAAAAATGAAAARGCATTGCTTTTACAGAAACAGGCGKGTTCCCGCTCCCGGGTCCCTGCCTCTCTCAAACAGGGGGCTGTGCTGGTCTAACACCCGCTCTGGAGAGTCGCTGCCCGCCCGCCCCCGGCCCCGGCACTTTCGGACCGACGGACACTCACTCTCGGAGTCGCTGAGGCCGCTGCCGTCGCTGACGCTGGCGCTGCTCCGCCGCTTCATGCGCTCCAGGTGCTCGCCGTAGAAGAAGCGGCGCCGGCCGGCRGGGCAGGAGAACTCCGCCAGCACCGCGTCGAACTCTCCCAGCGCCTCCGCCAGGCCCCCGCCGCCGTCCTCCCCCGGCGCTGCGGGCGGCGGCAGCGGCGTCAGGACCGGCCCGACCCGGCGCTGCCCGACCCCGACCCCGACCCCCGCCCGCCCCCAGCCCGGCGGAGGGAAGGGAAAAGAGGAGAAGGGAAGGAAGGGGTCCCGCCCGCTCCCTCAGCCCGCCGCTCCCACCTTGGCCCGCCGGGCGCTGGGCTGGAGGAGATTTCATGGCGGCTGCGGGCAGAGATGCCCCAGCGCCGCTGCCGCCTCCCGCCGCCAGCCTGAGCGCCCGGCCGCGCCGCCGCCCCTCTTATAGCGCGCAGCGGGGCCGGAGCGGGCAGGGGCGGGGCGGGGGCGGCCCCCGGGCGGTGCAGGTGCGCCGGGCCGGGTGTCCSCACGGCCGCGGTCCCGTCAACAACGCCACCGCCCGTGGGGAAGGTCGCCCGTCGCCCTGCGCTCCTTCGGGGTGATGGCGGTGCGCTAACCCGAGCACCGGCTGTGTGCCAGGCTGCTGCGGAGGGAGGATACAGCGGGCTGCGAGGAGGGACTGTCTCGGGAAAACGGGACTGGGTCAGCCTTGCCCAGCCCCGCCACTGCCAGCAGGACGAGAGCACACAGCAGGATGAGGACACAGCAGCTCGCTTGGAGTGAGCCTGTCCCTTTGGATGCAACAGCTCGGTCTGCTGCTCGGTCACCCCCGGGATCCCCTTCCTTCCCCATCCCCATGGCATTGTGCTGGCATCTGTCTGTGGTTATTGCCCTGCTCCATGAGCAATGGACACAACCGGGGGCGACTCGGACAGTTGATTCCAAAGGATGACTCGAGGAGAAGAGCARTGGCAGGGGGCATGCAGGGAATACTCAGACACAGCGAGCCATGGCCCCGGGTGCGCTAGCCAGGGTGCTCTCCAGGGGAGTGCTTTCCTTGTTCTTAGGAGGAAAATAGCAGCACTTGTCCTGACATCAGGTTAACCTSATGTTTATCCGTGCCATAGCTACAGAGTGTTGCTCTTGTGCTGTCTCTCGTTTGTTTTAAATGTAAGATGTCTGAGCAGATAAAATACCCATTCTGTTAATTGCTCAYTGGGGAAGACTCTGTCAGATTTAATTATGGCCAGAAATACTAATAACAGACATCAGGTGCTATTTATTCCATGAGAACAYGTTGGGAGCTATGATTCTGTTTGTGCGTTGATGGAAATATTTGGAATTAGAAGAGTCAGGGAGAGGTAAGTTTTAGTTTTTGACTTTTTCTGACATGCTATCATTGCTCTTGCAAGACACAAAATGAGGAAAACAACATTCTRGACAATAAAACAGATTTGTTCACCTCTCCTTACTGGCTGATATGGAGGCATTTATTTATTTTTACAGTGAATCAAAAGAAGTTCTCATGGTGAAGTTCAATTGTTATTTATTCTGTGGCTTCCTCCTTTATGTGGTCTTCCTCTGTTTTTCTTTCTGCCAAGAAAAGTGTCTCCAAACAATTCTTTTAAAAGACTGTAGTGACACAGATGGAAATCAAGGTTAAAAAGTAGGGGACAAGGAGGCACAAGGGCATGAYGTCAATAGCATGAGCAGGATGAAAGACAAAGAATGCAAGGCAGAAAGGGGAACTGTCAAGGATGTGACTGGGRACAGCTCACAGCCCAAAAAGACAAGGACCTGGCCCTGCAGCTGATGTCATGTCTCTTGCTCAGTCACGTGTGATCAACCCTACCTGTTCCACACACATCCCCACTGAGCACTGGTGCTTGGCCTATGGCACAGCCTGGCTTAGGGGCAAAGGATGTTGGAGGTTAGGCTTGAGTTTGTCCAGTTTCTGAGGAATACAGGCAAAATAACCAAAGGCTGAAAGTCCTCCTGTGCCTTTCCTGTTATGTCTCGTAAAGATAGCCAAGCAATGTCACAGCCTTTTGGAAGGTCTGAGGTCATGTCACAAAGAGGGAGTGCAAAGGGAATGATGCTGTATAAGAAGGCTTGAGATGCTTGGGGCCTTGCTGCCACAAAAAACACTTCTATCTTCTTGTGCTCCTGCCCTAGACCTTCTGCATGTCTTTTGAGAAGGTCTTTCTCATCTTCTGCTGAGCCAGTTCAACACGTTAGAACAGCAGAAAACTAATCGCGCAAGAAAGTGAGTGATCCTCTGTGGAACTCGTTGAATGGGCTCAGCTCAGGGAACTAATAAAAGGAGGGTGTGGATAGGTACGAGGGAAAAACAACTGCTTCCCTGCTAGTTTCTAGCATGCTGAAGAAGTTTATTGAATAAACTTCCCTTCTTTACAGCCATTGTGTTTAGGAAATCTTCTTTCCTTAAGACAGCCTGGGCTTAAAAATCSTTGCTTGTCTTTACTGCTCCATAGACAAACCTCTTAACATTCTTTCAGTTTTCTCCTAAGCAGCCTTGATTCTGCTGAATGYAACCCAGACTCAGCTGGTGAATTTTAGTTTTCCACATAAACCATTAGCTTACACAAGAAGAAACAAAGATTGACTTTTCKGCTGTTGGTTCTATGTCACAGACCATGTAGCTGTGCACATCTATAAATATTCTTGAAAGGCCCCAACATGCTCCAGCTGAACCAGCTGCATTTTTGCCACTGATGCCAACAGCCCACATCTGGCAAAACTGAGAAGTCACTTTAAAGTGCAGTGCCCTGAAACGCTGCAGGCTGACACGCCTGGCTGCTCATGTTTATTGGGAGAAACAWCCAACGCAACTCCTAATGTAAACCTCAGCTACTGAATCCCTCCCATTTTCTAGGCAGCTGTCCAAGCTGTATTTAAAGTGAATTTCTTCTTGACCATTCGACACAGTGTCTCCAGATCCTCCTCAGCTGGTGACGTGATGTTTACAGTGGTTTCCTACTTCATTTTTAACCTCACAAACTTGTGAGGCACACATCTATTTAAATCAACAAATCCTGCCTGTAAATATGTTTCAGAAAAAGGCTTAAAAAACATGCACTTTGATATAGCCAAGTTGCAAAGCTTGTAGATTTTCTAAATTGGTGCTGCAAGTTGAATAATCTAGTTTCTTCCAAAGYATGGCCCAGAGATGCCTAGAGATCCATGAACAACTTCTGAGGCATTCAGAAAAAAACAGGGAAAAAAAACCCAGAAAACGATATTCACTGGAAACAGGTTAAAATTCACAGTACAGCTGCAGCACCTCATGTGCATAYGCAGAAACTGGAACTGCAGAAGGGGGATTTGCAAATCTGAAATGGCTGAAAGGKTTTTGTCTAATGAATAGTTTCTTTTCACCACTTCAAAGACCTAGAATACCCCAAAATATCATTCCTGTTGAGTAAGCACCATGTTCCACAGTTAAAAGCAGATGTTTTATMTGAAACTTGCACCTGTCTTCTCACTGGTATTGATACTAGACAAAAGCCAGAGTGCCAGATCCCTACCCATGGAAGCAACCTGGAGTTTTGAATATCTAATTTTCACAAGTCTTTTAATATTTATTAGTCTGTGAAAGTTACMATTCTTTACATAAGTAACAACACTAAGTTATTAAAGTAGATAATTTAAGACCTGGAAATGTCAAACAACTGCCCACCATCACCAAACTCCTAACTGAAGGAAGTAAGGAGAAGCCTGAATTTAGACAGCTGTCAAAGAGAAACATGAAAAGTGCTGGAGGGTGAAAAAGCACAGGTGCCTGCCAGACTGACACACAGGGAAACCCAGCTCCTTCAGCTGCAGAGCAGGAATAGACCAAACATCATCAGCATAACTTGTCTCCCTTGCAGCACATCACAACCCTGCCCTCAGGACGCTCGTTTGAAGGGAGGCAGAGGTTGACACCCCAGACTGTTTCATCTTTCCAAGTGGAATTGCCTCTGTGAGCTAATTGCTCAGCTTGTTTTGTAATGAGGAGAGCTGCCTAACTAAAACGTGTCAGACATAGCCATGCCTCTTACAGAGCCTGCCTAACTACCATCCAARGTGTTTTGCTATGTTTGCTGCCAGCTGGGCTGAACAAAAGCTTTTGACCTGTACCTCAATCCCAAACACCAGTGGGAAGAGGCAGCGACTTACAGTGATATATTAATCCTGAAAGATTTTCAAATAAAAAGTCTTTTGCCAGAGGTCTTTTAAAGGACTTTACTTTTTCTTCCAATGTGTTCTGTAGACCTTAGACTSAAACCTGGAGTTTTTACAGGCTGGTGCAATTCCTTTTGGTTCTCTCTCTGCCCTTGATTGATGTGCAGGGGATGCAAACTCATGGACCTCCTCACAGCCACTCACACTGTGGTCCTGTGAGCAAACCATACACCTTCCTGCTGACTTCTGCCAAAACCTGAACTCACTTTCTCTGGGCCATAATTCTTCTAAATTTTCTGCTTGTCAAATTAAYCTCCAAAATGTGCACATGATATAGCCCGTGCCTCTACCTCTTTTTTTCAGTAACTAGAGGCAGAATCTCCAAATCTCTCTTGGAGTTTCAAATGGATATGTTTAAATAATGTTTATTGACACTGAAACATATTTATGGATGTAATCCCTATCGTTGCAGCTGGATTAAAAATCATTTAAACTGATAAAGTGGAATTKTAACATATCTTGACATCACTGGAACGTAGAGTTGAGTGTTGAGCTTCTGCCCACAGTGAAGAGATGCAAAACCAAGATCTTGAAGGTTCTCAGTCAATGGACTTTGGCTGATCTCTGCATGGGAAGCTGAGAGAAATTCAGGTAAGGAGAGGGATGGTAGAGAATAATAAGAGATAAAGAAGTTTCAAAATAACGGCTGCATTTTTGAGAGAAAATGATTAGTGTCAATGAAAAATATGTTCATATTACCAATTTGACTTGGGACCATAGTAATTTCATCTCTAGCTGATTTCTGGTGATTTCAGCTTCTAAGCATTTTTCTTGTGCATGAGCTAACTTCTCTCAGAGTAAAGTGATCTGAAACATCAGCCCAAAAGTACTCCAGCTTTACACAAGGCTTGTAGGTCCAAACCAAAGTCTTGGACCTAAAATCAGGAAGGCTTTCTTCTGTACTCAGGAAAGTACTCCCTGAATGCACATCCCTCATGTTAGTGTTAATTTAAAGCTAAATTTTAACTGTTTGGTCAAAAGAGACAACTGCTGACATCTTAATTCCTAGTCACGTTTGCAGAAACACCCTTTATATCGACTCTTTATATGACAAGACCTTTTCCTCTTTTCTTCACTGCTCACCAGTTTTTTTTCCAATGATGCCTATATTTGTTTAGCTAGTGCAAAACATCAGCTACATCCTGAAAATAGAATGTGTAGGAGCAAAGCAAACTGAATGG